TTTGTACCTACATTATTTTATTATAGAAACTTTACATTGTTAGTTTACTATATTAGTTTAGGACTAACCTAGATCTAAGTTGGCTGAATCTTGTGAAATATTATTGGGATTATGGCTGAAAATATCACTAACTACGAGGTCATCCAACTGATGAATCAGTGCCTTCTAATCATTATAAGTAAGAACTGTATGTTAGATTATCTATACGAGTTACTAGAATTAGTGTTTAATACTGATCTATGTAGGTAGCTTTGTTCAGAATTTAATATTTTTAGCACAACTACATGTGTTATTATTACCATTTCACATTTACAGATTTAATGTTAATTCGAGACATGGGAATATATTCTATTATATTACTTAACCCATGTCTAATGATTTGAAAAATGAACCAAACAAGTCAGGTAATGACATTCAGATGTATTTTATGGAAAAAGTCTACCAAATTCTTCATACGGTTGAATGAAGGATATTCACAGCATATGTCAATATTATTTGACAACATAATAATACATATGCATAACTTTTGTATATTTTTTGGTAAAAGCAATATTACTTAATATTTAGTCACTTCTCCATTAAACAAACTTGGTTTTCAAAAATAGAACTAACATTCATTACTTGTGAGTACTATCAGTTGCAGTGGCCTTATTATTATATAGAGACAACAAAATGTTGAAATTACACTTACAAAAATATTACAATTAAGGTTTCATTGAAAGCACTTAACAAACCTCCAGTAACAAGAAACTCTCCAGCAACAGCCAGCGATCGTACGTCGTGTGTATGTAGGACCCGCTGCATTGATTTGACCCACTGAAGCCGACCTTCTCTCTGTACTCGTTGTGTTGGAACTCTCGTAAACTGAATCACTATTGGATCAACCCCACTTGTGTAAACACTGTTTTCATCCTGGTTTGTTAATTATCATAAATACATACATAAGTACAACTAACTTCTATACAGGAAATGAACAGATAATAGCATTATCTAAATTGTTATTTATAGTAAGAAAATTTATCACTGCTTGTTAGTTCAATAAGGTTAATTTTACTGTAGTATTCAAACTTTATTGTAAATGACATATAAAAAAATGAAAAACTGGGGTTAGAGAACAAACTGAAAAGGAAGGAATGCGGAAATAAACTTAGCTAATCCCTTTGTATGAATATCTTACCTCGCTCAGACACAATGCCAACACATCTGCTTTGTGGCTTCTAACACTCTGGAAAATAAAACACACAAAGAACAACTTTAGAAATTCTGAAAGGTCAAAAAGCAATAATAACTCAAGAAGTTTTTTCTTACTTACTAAAATTTATTTTTTAGTTCCTAATTATAATTTAAAAAAGGAACCAAAGTTTACCATTTTTAAAGTTCCGGTTTCTGCATCCCAGAAAGATGTTCTACCCCAGGAATCTCCACTGATTATAGTCAAGTCACTAAAGCATAGGAGGAAGAGAAAAAGTTCAATATGTTTGCCAAAATTCCTTTTCTAGTATTCATAGATAAGATGTCAGTCATTGTCATGGTTGGTACCATATACAGTCATCTATGTCTAACTATTAATTCTTTCTAGTGCAATATTTTGTTTTTTTAATATGGACAAATAACATCATTAAGTTTTAAAAAATTCTGTCATCAAAACAAAACTATAACTGAAATGTTCATATATAGCATTTGTTTGATGAAAATTATTTAAAATTTGTTGTGGACAAAGTAATAAAAAAACAAAACCAAACAGCTAACCCTAATTTCAATGTTTCCTCTCTCAATACTAATTTTTATCTTGGGAATATAAATATTTAAATTTTCCTCCTGTGTTGCTAAGACTTATTAACATATGAAACAAAGTTGTAAATCTTCATACATGTTTGTTGCTTGTTTCTAGTTCAAATCTTTTAAAAACAATGTATTTTTCAAGTTTGTGGTGCTAAAAACTGAAATTCAACTGACTGTGTTTTCCTTTTTTATACCTTCTAAGCTTTTAAAGTTAACAAAATCATAAAACTTATACGTGTATTATCTGCAAGCTGGGACTATTCTCTTCGCTGTGATGCCTTAGAGCTTCCTTTCTTCCTGTTATGGAATGTACATTTATACTCTTTTAGCTATTAAATCAGTCCTTTCCTAACTGCTTGCCTTCAAATAATGTAACTATATCAAGTATGTTTGTTGAATTTCATGCAAAGCTACTCGAGGAATATCTTCACTAATTTAGAAGTGATAGACTAGAAGGAAGGCAGATAGTCAACATCACCAATCGCTACTCTTGATTTACTCTTTAGCAATGACTGGTGGGATTTACCATAGCATCATAACGCCCCTACAGCTAAAAAGGCAAGCATATTCAGTAGTGAGATTCAAACCCATGACTCACAGATTGAGAGCCAAGTGCCCTAACCACCAGGTCATGCCATTTCCAACACTATCATACTGTATAAAGGTAATAAAGTAACTTATTGGTTACCCAGCTTGTTTGCTTATATTGTTAAAGCAATTACCTTTTGCTTTACAAAAATTCCCACTTACAGTTTTACAGTGGTCTTTGCCCTGCATGAGCTTAAAGTTGTATATCATTTCTAAATGGAGTTCAAAAGTTATTTGTATAAATAAGATGTAGTAAGATAAATGTCAATTTATGATAATTCTAAAAACATATAAGTTGTTTTGTTACAAAATTTCTGTAAAATAAAGGTAGGCTAGTTCATGTCATCATTAGGCTTGTGAATGTCTAACAACAGTGTGAATGCTGATTTCCAGGTCAACAGTTGTGAGCATATTTCATGACAACATACTGTACAGCTATGCCATGTAGTGGATTTTACTTTATTATAAATTGAACATTTACAAAAAAAGAAATAAAATATTTGGTTCTAAAACATTTAATGGTTATCATGCTTTAAAGTATCTGTGTTCCAGTTATAGTTTCGTGAGTTATTATGTTAATGAATTTAAATAAAGAATAGAACCAGGCTGGAAAGTGAACAAGTTGCAAGTTTTTTTACAACAAAATAATAATTATTGAGTGGCTTACATCCTATATTTTGGCTAATATGCTGCCATCTTCAGAGATGTTCTGAGAAGAATTGTGTGGTGTTAATGGCCAGAATACCCTTCTTGAAATCATTTGAATAGTTGATTCAACAATGGGAAGACCCCAAATGAGTGGATAGCATGCCAACTTTTCTAACAAGAGATCCCAGTATTGAATCCTGGCAACTATCACCACACACTCACCTTAGGTGGTGATGTAGGCTATTAACTGTAACAACTAATTCTTTTTCAAATAAACTATTTACTAATACTCAAACAAATCATTTATCCTCAGCTTTACCTTATCAGTTTTTCAATAACTCTGTTTTGTGTAAAATCAAATAGAAATTTATACTGGTTTAAAACTATGTTTAATTCACTGTTCACTTAGTATCTAAGACAGTTTGGTACACCTTAAAAATTTAGGATTGGCTTAAAGTTTAAAATATTTAAATTATCATAGATAACTTGATTTATAATATTTATTAGAAAAGCGTTTTTATTAGGAATTCCTTAATATTTTCCATCTCTTCATGAAAAGAAATCATGTTTACATTAATTCATACACTTGATAAACTAACATTTATATCAGGTTTTTCTTGAAAGATAATGGTATAAAGCTTTCAAAGTTAGAAATAATGTTTTTTTCGTGGAAAATTTTACATTCAGATTTTCCATCATTGTTATGAAAAAGTAAATCCAAGAAAGGAAGTTTTTTGTTATTATGTTGGTGTTCAACAACGAATTTAATACAGGGATGTTTACTGTTGAGGTAGTTTAAAAATTCTCAACGTGTTCAACCTCTCTTAAGATGATAAAAGTATCATTCACATATCTTCTATAATATATGTTGCCTTTATTTATTTATTTGACGACAAAAAAGCACATTTGCAAGTGGTGGAGCTAATCTTGACACCATAGAAACACCATACATTTGATCCTAAGTTTCATTATCAAACAAAAAATGAGATTCTTTAGTGACATAATACTCAAGTATAAAGAAGAATGCGTTACACAGTTGTAATGAACCAATAAACAGAGCTAATAATGAGCATTGTTGAGAATGAAGAAAAGTCAATTAATGGAGCCCCCCAGTAGCACAGCGGTATGTCTGCGGACTTACAACGCTAGAATCCGGGTTTCGATACCCGTGGTGGGCAGAGCACATATAGCCCATTGTGTAGCTTTGTGCTTAACTTCAAACAAACAAACAATTAATGGATAGATTCAAATCGAGGTTAAATGAACAGAACAATGCAATTCATGTATTACTAAAGTTGTAAGTCTGTCTTATACTTTACATCAGTGGCTGAAATTAAGCTAACTCTTTGTATGCAGTGATTAGTGCTCCTTATTAAATGTTTTCAAACCTGACTGTTTACAAGTATAATTTGTCTTCTGAAACAAGTTAGATATTATTCAAATAAGAAAAATAATATCTAATGCCACTAGAAATTCCAAATTCACATTCACGTAACTAACACCAAAACAAAATTATGATACTATAACTAATTGTTGTCAGCACAAAATTAGTGTATATCAATTACCTTGTTCAGAAATAATACCGCAACAAAATATTCAGTAGCGCCCATTACGTTTGGAAATAGCTCAGATGTGTATCTAATCCAAAAACTACTATAAATCAATAGTTACATAATATTCTATTTCATTCTGAAAAAAAACAATTAATCTTAATTTCACTTTTCAAAGACTAGATCGCAATATTCTAGTTGTCACAACTGCAAAAATATCCTTTACTAACACCAAAGAAATTAACCAAACAGAAGTGATAGTGTTGTGGTACTCGTCGAAACATAAGTCTAATGATAAATAAGGTTTCTGCAAAACGTTGATAATGAGAATATTTATGTTGAATATGTATTGTTGAATAATTTCCACAACTAACAAAGAAATTGAATCACAAATTGAAACTTGAAGTTTATCAATATACTTGGTCATTTCAGATCATCAATTGCAACTTGACAAGGAGCAGCATTACATCTCTCGATCCCATAAACCAATACCAACAGAAGGCAGTACGCGTAGCGATGAGGGTTACCAAAGCAACGGTGGCCATGATGACATTTCCACTCAACAAGAAGATAGTAGTGATATCGACAATGATAATAACTATGTTTTAGATTTTAGTTTTAAGAGTGAGAAGAGAGAACGAGAGAGGGAAATTCCTGGAGAAGAAATAGTACAACATCCCAAAGACAAAAGTGAATTTAAAAAAGTAAAAATCAAAATGCCTAGGGCCTTTCACTACCGAAACAACAGCTACTCAGAGAAAAGGGAAAGAGAAAATGAAAAGAAAAAAACAACGTTTTTAAAACCAAACCTTTGTAATATTAACATTCATGATTGTCCAACGATTAATGATGACACCAAAAAGAGAGAGTTTTCTGCTTTCACAACTTATGGAGGGAGAAGCTTACAAGAAAATAAACCTAACTCAACATCTTTAGGCATACTAGAAAATCTACTTGAGAAATATTCTGATAAAGACGTAGCAACAGCAACATTTTTCCACGTGGATCCTTTATGTCATGAACCAGCAAAAGATCCTGCAAAAGTGGTTGTGACCAATGATTCTGTAACTAAATCAGACACCAACACTGCCAGAAACCATACACATAAAAAAGGCTATCAAATCATAAGTTACAGCAATAATAGCCCCGAAATGCATAACTTTGGCTCCAGTGATAGGACTAATCAATTGGTCTCTTCAGCTTGTAGCCTTTGTGCTATCTCTGGATACCCTCTACATGCTCACCCACCAAACTTTTTGTATATGAACAATACCACCCATATGTTTTCTCCAGCCCATTTCAACTTGTACACCTACTCTTTCTCGGATGTGATACGTTCCAAATTACATAGCTCCACAAGCGATTTTTATCATAAACCTGCTGACTTTTCAACTCACCAGTTAGGTGTGGTTTCAAAAAAACACCTTCCTTTATACCCCAAAGTATCTTTAAATGAATCTTATAGTCCAACATCTACAGGCAACAACAGTTATTCTGCTTATAGTATAATCCGTGGCTTCCGTTCATTGCCGTACCCATTGAAGAAAAAAGACGGAAAGATGCAATACGAATGTAATGTTTGTTGTAAGATATTCGGACAGCTGTCCAATCTCAAGGTTCACCTTCGGACCCACTCGGGTGAACGTCCATTCACATGTTCTGTCTGTGGAAAAAGTTTCACTCAACTAGCCCACCTTCAAAAACATAATTTGGTCCACACTGGAGAAAAACCACATCAATGCAATGTTTGCAAGAAGCGATTTAGCAGTACTAGCAACTTAAAAACCCACTTGAGGTTGCACAGTGGTCAGAAGCCGTATGTGTGTGACTTATGTCCAGCAAAGTTTACGCAGTTTGTACATCTTAAGCTCCATAAGCGACTTCACACTAATGAGAGGCCATACACCTGTGCAACGTGTAATAAAAAGTATATAAGCGCTTCTGGACTCAGAACGCATTGGAAAACTACATCATGTCGTCCTAATCCTGTACAAGAAAGAATTATAGAATTGGAGAAGAACAAAAGCTTAGATTACTTTTTAACTGATAGGGACACCAGCAAAGAGCCGCCTTCCACCCCAAAATCAATGTTCATCCAGTTACCTGGACCAGTTATTGGACTAAGTGGTCAGATAACCCAAATTACTGAAACAAATACAAAGGAATCAGCAAAGGCAGAGGAGGTTCTTTCTCTATCTCTTTTGAACGAATGCTTTGGTGTTCAGCAAGAACCAAAATTCAAGTCTACCTTCAGCGAGCAGCTGTTGTCTCCAACTGATGATCTTTCAAAAAAAATGTATATTTGAACGAGCTACACACCCTTCTTAGAGTAACAAGTAATAAGACCGAGAAACAGATAATTAGCTCAAACATGTCAGTGATTCATGTTTGTGGTTCCTTGCTCACTTATGTTCTGCTGGTTACTTGGGTTGTTGTAAGACTGTGTTTTTACAGAGGTTTTGACTCCTAACGTATTTATTGTTGCGCAAGTAGACTTTTTGCCAAAATATTTTTTTCTTTGTTCATATTTTGTTTTTGAAACGTATAAGGATGATATTATTATTTTGTACTTCGTAGAAAAGTAATTGCATCAATTAAGTTGTATTATTGTAAAAAAAAAATTCTGTTACGAGCTATATTTGTCATAAGACATTAGTATCAGGTCTAATACATTTTAAACACTACATTCTTAGTCTAGTCCCTTAGGAATTCAAGAATTAGAAGAGTGTATGATAACAGTATTTCAACCACACTTCGTCATATTTGTTACCGACAACTCAATTCGTTCATTCCAGATCTCTTCTAGCCAGATGGGATACAGGTTTCCACTTAATATTTTATTTATTATTCAATAATTGGAGTATCTGAAAAAGTATCTTTTAACAGCTATTCTTTGAGTAAAAGTAATCAGCTTGGCCTGTGGTAAGTTTACGGGCTTACAACTCTAAAATTCGGGGCTTGATTATAGTTGGTAGAAAGAACGCAGGTAATTCATTGTGTAGCTTTATGCTAAAAACTACAACAATCGTTGAAAAAATATCAACAAAAGTAGAAATATATTGAATCTGTAAAGGATTTTATTTAAATGCATGTTAAACGACGAACATTTAAACAAGTTTGATGCTTTTAATAAGTTTATATTTTTTGCTTTGTTTTAAGATACAAGACTATTTCATCTCTCTCTCTCTTTGTAATTAAGGAGGTTATTGTTTCAAGTCGTAATGAACTCACAGATTGATGTGTTGTGCGTAAAAATGTGGCGAATTTATAAATTATCTGAGATTGTTATTTCTTACATTTTTATCCCAGTGTCTATTATAAAACAAATTGTTATGAAAATATAAAGTTAAATATTTGTATTTGATTATGCATGTAATTGTTTGTGGTATAAGTATTTACTTTGAGTCACTTGCCAATCATTATCAATGATACTCGCCGTCTGAACCGTTCGTTGTCTTAAGACCATACTCCTGACAAACACATTGCTGAAAAATTATACTACGAACGATATACAGTTAAAGAATTTAGATTTAACCCATTATATTTTTATCATTGTTAATATAAGATTCAGCGTATGATTTTTAAAATTATAAATATATATATTTCAGATTATTCAAATAGAGATTGTAATGACCATTTGAAAAAAAAATATATATATACAAATATGCCTTTACACTATGTGTGTCAAGGTCCCTCAAATACATTTTAGATAAAATAATAGACATAGTTGTTGGATACAGGAAAATAACTAATGCACAAATTTACTGCTTCAAACATTTTAAACGTATATTTGAGGTACCATCCTGTCACAAACCACCAAATGTTGTAATGTTATCCTGCCCATTCCTACCTTGTTTCCTTACTTTTTGGTGCCCCCTTTCCTACTTCCTAATTTTTTTTATTTAAAAATTTCTACACTTGTCATTTAAAGAGTCACTATAAAAAACACTTAAACCAGGCCTTACCTTTTAAAACATTTCGTTTAACAAGAGAAGTGACAGAAAGCTACTTTAAAGCTAAATTAATTGAAAAACAAATAACGCTAAAAACTTAATATATATATTGGAAATAACACAAACTTCTTAGAACTAAAGTTTAAAACGAAAGCAATCATAAAATATATAATGGAATAAGTACGATTTTTGTTTTACTTCTTATAGCTGTTTAGTTCATTTTTGTTCCCTTTAAAATTTCCACATACAAATATAATGATAGTATCACAATCTAATAGTTTTAAAGTGCACTGTATCTATAAACAAACGTTAAATGGTGTACAAATTGTTAATTATTTCTAACTTTTAACAACTCTTGACTCCTAGATATTACTTTTGATTTGGGCAAGAAATGTTAGTCAGTGGATAAGTTGTAAAAATATGTAGTTACACATCATAGATGAGTTGGTATTATCTAATTAAAATAATTTAGTCAGCAATTTAGCAATAAAGTCTTTACTTTCAACAAATTTAAATCACAAGATTTACCATTCGTACTGTCAATGTTGTACGTGCTTACATATTTTAAGTTATGCTAAGTAAGACTTCTGTTAAGAATGAAATTAGGTAAATAAAATATTAAGGAAAGCATTTTAAGAACAACTACTTCACTTTTAATAAGGATGTATGTTAACATTATACCAATAAAACCTTCCCTTGGAGATAATAACATTGTTATGTGTATATGAACAGAAGCTGTATTTGAAAGTACGTCTTTGCTGTTGTAAGGGCTTTGCACAGTTGTCTTTCATGGTTGTTTGATACATGTAATGCATATGTATGTGTATATATAGGTATATATCTGTGTGTGAACAAATCATAAATGTGATAGCTGTAGTGTCTCAATCGTGGTCTCCACTGTATTCAAAACCCTTGTTTACGGAAAAGTTAAGCAATCGGAATTTGAAAAATTGACTGTTCTTAAATGCTTATGTATACTTTTATTCAATTTTCAGGTTACTTTTCTAGAGTTTTATCATCATGTAAACATGGTTAGACTGAATGTTTGCAAAATAGCTGTTTTAAAGTGGATCTGCAAAAGAAGAAACGAGTAATATAACCGCACGGTTCTAAATATATAAAATTTAATGTTTGAGAAGTTCGAAATATTCATTTTGATACTCAATCGTTTACTCTAATCAGATTATAGCGCATCAAGCTGTGTTACTTTTTGTGTGCAGTTAAACTTGAGTTTATTTCAAATTAAATGGTTTATTTTCTTCGATATATACATATGTATATATATGTGTGTGTGTATCTGCCCATTTAAAGTCTTATAGTTGAGGTTTTGAACATCCAAAGCTGATGAATAATAATGGTTGGAGAAAGCTTGAATGGGTAATGAAGAAAAACATTAATATAAGTTTAACATAACAGCAAATGTACAAAGTTTCGACAAGGTTTTGTCATCATCAGGTATGTTAAACTTATATTAAAGTTTTTCTTCATTACCCATTCAAGCCGTCTCCAACCATTATTAGTCTCAAAGTGGGTTCCTCGTCATCGAATTTGAATTCATCAAAACTGGTGAAGCTTTGTAAAATAATAGCTCTAATATTTGTGATAAAAATTACGCTTATACTGCAGATATTGTTTGTCACATTCCTTCTGATTTGTCCATTAGGAATTATGAATCAGAGGTGTGCAAAAATGAGGTTTTAGATATAACTTTTGTCTCCTATTGCCTAAAATGTTTATTAACAATCATTTTACACATAATGTAGTGTTCATAATATTATCTCAAATTATATCTTATCAGATATATTTTTGTTCTCTCACAAGTCATTGCTGTTTTTGTATACCTTCTTATCTAATTCGATATTTATCACAATTATTAATTTACAGTTTTGTATTGGATTATGTTATACATTAAACAGTAACAAAAAATAATTCATGTATTTAAAACATATTATTCATATCAAGCATACTAATGTTGCTGTAAGTTTCGGGAGATGGCTCTTGCTTTCTGAAACTCATGTATTCAGTTGTGAGTATTGAATTAAAAATAGTCTGAGATGTACTCTTTCTTCATTTTGAATTACTCAAAAGGCTGTGATTCGTTCACTATTTCTCCAATATAGTTTGATTTGATCTTTAAAATGAAACAGAGTCTATGATACCTACACATTTTATAAATTCCAGGCAAGTCGTAGATACCCACAAATTATATTTAGATATAAATTAACAGATGACAGCACGTGATTTTATACTTTCGTCCACTTTTTTTTTTATCTGTATAGGTTGTCTAAAGTAAGATCAACTTTTGTACACCAGAACAAAATGTGATGCTATGAAAGATTATCAAACGAATTTACATAGACTTCGTCTATTTCAAAATACAATCAAAGGAATTTATGCCTATAACTTATTCTTCTAAAATAATATATAAAACTTCACGTTTTTCGATTAGCTTGAAAACATTTTTAATTCTAGTTTTCTTATTAACCAATCATGTTTTCATACACATTCATTTCGAAGAATTTTACTTTCAGAAATTTTTCTATTACTAAACGATACCCATACCCATCGCAACTTCAGTTCTTTTTTTACTGCTTCATCGTCTTTTGTAATATTATGATAAATCAAGTTATTACTCTAATAAATAAAGTATGTTATTTTTTAGAATAAATCTAAATAAGTAATAACATTTGCCACGATATATATTCTTTGATTAGATTAGTTTTACATTTACATTGACCAGCTATTCTTTGAAAATGTTCAAGCTATAATCTTTATACTACTAAAACTCTGAGTTTTTTGTTCGCTTGTCTGTAATTAAATACAACAAAAATGGCACACAATAGTGCCATATTTGTAATGAAGTGAGAATAGAAATAGAATAAAACAAGTTTCGTTAAAATCGAGCCACGGGTTACCTAGTTAGCCCCGTTTTTCGGGTCACTTTTCGTATATTCCATTATTATAAAACTTCGTTTATACAACAATATATGCACAACATAAATTAAATGAAGAGATGAAAATGTGTTATAACAGCGCGTCGAAAGAACAACATTAAAATGGACCTACAAAATTGTTACGACAGCGGAGGTCACGTGACGCTAGTAACACGTCATATTCTCGAAGCTTCGTGAATCCTCGGGAGGTTACTAGATTTCGGTATTCTTTTATGTATAAGACGGTCAAGACGTGACGGGAACAATGTAATGAATGTGTAATTGAACTCTGGACAGAGTATTGTTGAGTCGAGCACGTGAGACGTTCGTTGTGAATTATAGCGTATGTTATAGCGCGACTGTTGAAATTAAGTGTATCGCAAAGTTGTGTTCAGAAAGAATAAACCAGTTTTATTGAAG